CTTCTGTGCATTTTGTGGCTTATCCTTTTATAGGTATAAAATGATGGTTTTTTTCAGGGTTTTATACTTCAATTTTTAGGCTACTGACTGTAGTTTTGTCAATAATTTCATCCACTCTTTCTTCTTTGAAAATAGTGCCTTGCTTGACCAATTTTTCCCCCTTAACCACAGTTTTTTTAAAAAGCATTAGCTAGCTTTTGGGCTAAAATTACTCTTTTTAATCCAAATAATTGGGCTGGAGATCAAAATTATATTTTAACTCAAATAAGTATATATAATGAAAATATTTATTTCCAAAGTTGTTGAGCTGGTACTTTCATTTTCCATGGAAGTAACCCTTTTTTTTTAGCATATTTTCCATAGTTTGCATTTTCCTTTTCCATCCGGCAATTTTTTTTGTCTTGGGTTAATTAGATACATGCTCCTTTTTTATTTTACTCTATGCGTACACACACATGCAAAACATTGACGTAGAATTGTCCGCAACAGATTTCTTATCAGGGCAAATGCTTTTCCCCACTTCATTTTACTCCTCTTTATTCTTATCTATCTTTTATAAGCAATTTACTCCAATGTTCCTTTTTCCATACAAGGTTTCTTTTTAAGTTATTTTCTACGAGCAATTTACTCTAACGCTACTTTTTTTCATACATTGTTTCTTTTTAAGTTCCCCACAGCACTTGATTTATCCTCCCTTCCTTGTTTTTTTCAAGCAATTTTGAAAACTATGAATTAAATTGAACTTTTCCAAAAAATTTGAAAAGATATTAATATTTTGTTATCATCATTTTTTTTGGGCATAATTTTTGTCCTCATTATTCAACAGCAATGATATATCAATGGAAACAGCCCACGCCTAATTTGGACGAACGATTGGGTAACGAAGGCCCATCTTCAGTGTTGAAAGTGCGAGGTGCAGTGGCTTGCCAGTGAAAGTCCTGTGGTGACCGATATGAAATGGATGAAGGTGGGAGAAGATGGCAAGATTGGACTTAGGATGAAGAGGAGATTGAATGAGCTCATTTTTAAAAGCGAAGTCTTCGGGGACGTCCGTTGGTTGGGATGATCTTGGGCTACGCTATGCAAGATGGTAGCCTGGCGATCCATCACGTGGGGTTCAAGTTGTGCCAAACATGGACTTTGGTTGTGAAGCCCATGTTATTGATTAGAAAGCCCATGTAAATACCGATGGTTGCTGCTCAAATTGTAACCCTTGATTTCATCCATCCGTTATCATTTTTCCATGTGTTTCTCTTTTCATTGATAAACTAACAATTAAAACCACTGAATGCGTAACATGCTGCTATTCAGTCTGCAATCATAATTATTAGTTTAATTTAACTAATAATAATAAAATGATCCTAAGGTGTTGTTCTAAGTCATTTTGGAAATGATGGTTGAGTTGACTAAGGCGTCCTATAGGCTTCTCTTTGAATTTAGAGGAGATTCGCCCCCCACCCGTCCGTAAAAGAAAACAAATGGAGATTTGACACGTGTGCCCAGTGTTGATTTTTTTGGCTGGTAAAGTCTAGCTATTGACATTACAAAAAACAGGGCTTTCCACTTGGGTAACAGCCATTTGATTTTTTGAAGGGGTTTATAACAACCGCATGGGAAGAGTTTTTTTTTTTTTTTTTGGGGCAAACGGAAGGGGTTTTTTGAGTGAATGAAGAGTTTTTTTTTTTTGTGATTTTAATATAGTTCATTTTATTCTCCAGGGGACTGTCTCTGTTTTTCTTTTTTTAAGACAGATGGCTCATTTTATTTCATTCAATCTCTCTCAACCAAACCAAGCCCTTTGGTTTGGTTCATTTCATTTTGGTTTGGTTCATTTCATTTTAGACAGATGGCTCATTTTATACATGCAAAAAAACTGAGAAACATGAAACACAGGGCCGGTGGGACCAGATCAGTTACGTTGTTTCTCCTCGTCCACACTCCACTTGAAATGACCAAATCACCCTGCCCTGCCTATGAGGGCTTGGTTTGGTTCATTTCATTTTAGACAGATGGCTCATTTTATACATGCAAAAAAACTGAGAAACATGAAACACAGGGCGGTGGGACCAGCTCGGTTACGTGGTTTCTCCTTGTCCACACTCCACTTGAAATGACCAAATCACCCTGCCCTGCCTATGTGATGAACCGTGAACGTAATTCTTCTTATTATTATTCCCTCCATTTTTAAATTATAAAATAATTTTAAATAAAATTTTATATATTAATAAATATCATTAAATATATTTAATAATTTTATTTTTTAAATAAAAATATTAACTTTTAAAAATATTCATCATTTAATACATTAAAAAAATAGATAAAAATTAATTATAGAGAGATAAAAATGATAATATTAAAAATAATACATTTAATGAAATTTTAATATAATTAAAGTGTCTTATATTTTGAGATAAAAAATTTTTTAAAATATTTTTTATAATTTAAAATAAAAGGAGTATTATTATTTTTTTATTACAAGCGACAAGTCTAAGCTTGAAAAAAGAGATTAAATCTAGAAAAAAAATCAAATTAAACATGAGGAAAATACATTCCTCGACACTGATTCAAGACGAAAATGAATGTGATTCTGCTCTCCTTCAACCTTCACACTGCTTCCTGAGCCTCCACTTTCCTTTCATCACTATTCTTAATTTACATGCAGTCGCATTAAAATTCTTTAATTTAGACATAGTTTTAAATACCTGTACTTCTCGTAAAATGCTAAGCACTGTATTTTAATCTGGATGTTTCGAAATCTTACCTTTTGCAAATTGCATTAAAAATACTTTTCCTTGTACAGTGAGAAAAATTATTATAGCACAAAAATATAAAATATAAAAGATTATTTAATATTTAATGTTTTATTATATGTTTTTTTATAATTATTATAGCACAAAAATCTTATAATCGTATGTATCTGTAAGAATATAATTTATAATCCTATTCATAGATCAAAGTAAATCCTTTATCTCAATCTATAAAATATATTGAGAAAAATTCAGCACCTTGAAACATAAGATATTTTAATAAAAATAAAGTTTTTATTAATAATATTTTTTTAATATTATACTTTTTATTATACTCTCTCTTTAATAAAAAAATTTTTTTTTAACCAGATGAGTGGCATGGGGGATTTTCTACTTAAAATGTACACCGGGATATGTACAATATCATTGAATGTCCGCTCACTTCTGATCAAAAACTACAACCTTCCTATAATTATATTCAAAGTTTAATGGCAACGCCCAAAATCTTCGCTCGTCTTCGATCAATACACACACCACGCAATGACTGATAATATCGCAGCTTATTCAAAATACCCACTAAATGATGATCGCGATAAATCTACAAGCTATTTACAGACATTAAATAAATACTAATATCCTTCAAAGTTCAAATTATTATGTTTTCGTCTTTTTCATTTTTACCCATAGTAATTCGAGGTTCAATAAGTATGAGAAAAATTATTACATGATGTGGACGATTTTGAAAGCGTACAACACCACAACTAGAGAACCACCCATGATCAGTGTTCCTCTTGAAATATCTCTACTCCATCAACTGCATCGTCATTAAAAAAAAAAAGAAAAAGAAAATTTCAAACTTCTGTTGAAGCATGTTTCTTTCGTTTAAAACGGAAGAAAAGTCTGACTGATATAATGTCGGTGCAACTAGGGTTGAAAATACAAGCAGGCCTGGTTCTTAAAGGCTCAAGTCCTATAATTTAATTCTTCATTTTAAGTCTCATTTTTTAAATTTAGTCTTTATGTAAAGGGTTCAGGACCCGAGGCAAGATCCTTTTCAAAAAATAAAAAATAAAAAAATTAAATATTATAAATTAATTAAAATATTTTAAAATTTTAAAAAATTAAAATCCTCATAATTTTTTAAAAATTAAACAACATACATTTAGAAGTCTAGTTATAAAATTTATATCTTGGTTAAAAAACAGTTCATTTTTTTATAAATATACAAATATAATAATTATAAAAAATAAAATATATCATAAATTTTATACTATACACTGATATTTATTAAATTATAATAAATTAATTTTAGAATAAATTAAAATCAATAATAATATAATGCATGTACGATTAGGTGAGCAGGTCATTGGTTTCAAACACGTATTCCATAAAAACTAATAATAATAATAATAATATAATAGAGTTTAAAGGGCCGTCCGAGCCTGAGTTTTTTTTTACAGGATTTATCAGGGTTAAGCCCTCAAATCCAATTATTTTTTTAAAAAATCATTTTTAAAATTTAAATTTTTATTTAAATAGGACACTCCACCCTTATTTTGGACTCTGGGTGCAACTTCATCACCGAGGCCGGCAGTCTAGGTCCAGGTATTGGCTGTTAGGGGGTGGTCACGTGGCTAAAACGTAAAGTAGTACTAATTTTTTTACAAGGTTTTTAATTGTAATTTCCCTTTTAAAAACTTTCAAAGCCTCTAAGCTCTAACCAGTAACCACTACATACTGACGTGCAGCACCGGCACGTCATGTTCCGATAGCCGGTCCTACGCTTTGTTTTTTTTTTTTTTCATTTAATAAAGAGTGATCAATATATTCCACTAGAGAAAACTACGTACAAGGCAACACAACAGATTAAATCCTCTCATCATCTACTATCTCTACTTAAACTTCCATTGCTACGTTTACTTATGATCGGGAACTTAAAAAAAAAAAAGAAGTCTGTTTGGTTTAAGATTTTATTAGTATCATAATGATCAAATTTCTAATAAATTACATATACTAAAAAAAATGGAATCAAGCTGGGGTTCAAATCCTTCCAGTGAAGTAGCTTTCACAAAAGTTGGACCGTCTTTAGTTCGGTCCAATGAATAATAAATAAACATGGGACGTGGGACAGGCGGTTGTCAACAACAACCATAAGAATTTTGTATGGTTCTTTCCGGGTAAGAACATGGAAATTTCCAGGCCATGTCGCTTTAATTTAATTAGTGCGCATCTGCTTCTGCCACAATATTATCCGCTCCCTCGGTCTAATGATTCTCCATACAAAACCAACAAGGCCTTTAACAAACAAACTCAGAAAACCTCATCAATATCCTTTACTCTCCCCTATAGTAACACTTTAATTACACAGTATTTATCTCTGGTTGGACTTCGATCGGCACGGCCATGGCATCACGAGCCTGTCACTGGGGTTTTCCCGGCACCTACATGTTGTTGAAGCCCGAAGAAGTGCGTCTGTTTGATCTCGTCCATATCTTATTGTCCTCCAACTTGCATAAAACGAAGTTCTTGGATTCCGCTGAAGTCACTTTCAAGGATAGCTTCCGCCATAGATGGCTCATTTTCATCTCCATCTTGGCTCAGAAGTTTCTTCAGTTTGTGGCCAGACCCCTCGCTTCTACTGGCTCTTTCGTTGAAATGTGGCTCAACCTCGTTTCCGCAACCGCAACCTCTTCAAGCTCCTACTTAACTTCCTCACAGGTTTCTTCTTACTAGCTACTTTGCTCTATATTTTTCACTTTTCACTATCGTTGTCGTTTTTTCATCAAATTAAACATGCATTCACACGCCTATTTGCTCCTGTTTGTTTAACCATGTGGAGGAACTCTCTTTGACAGTATAATTTTATAACTAGAGAGAGGCAGATGCAGTGATAAGTCCAACAATTAATTAACAAAGCTTATTAATTATTATTACTGTGTCTTTATCGTTGCTGCTTTAATTTGATGAAACGTACATTCACATACCCGCATCTGCTTCAGTTTAACGATGGCCGGGGCTTTTTTGATCGTATAATCTGTTTGATTGAAAAGAGAGTGACAAAAGGTAAAAATAAAGCAAGAACGTGAGGCCTAACTGTCAGCAAATCACTGAATATTAGCCAACCTTGCTTCTATGTGTATGCGTATTGTCTGATCTAGCGCCATCGGTCATTTTGCAAAAGCATATGTGCTTTCAAAAGAAGCATAACGTCCAACAGTGGTGGTGCGCCAAGTTCACGGTATGTATTAAAATTTGCAATGGCGCAATATCCCTTTAAATCCTGTAAATCTTTCCCAGGTTTCTGGTACACATCAGTGAATTTTAACAGAATAATTAAAATGAGTCAATTGAGATGTGGGTCTCGAAAATAAGAGAGTTGAATTTTTTTAAATTAAATCCAGAAAAAGAAATCTTTGATTTGAGGATTCAAATTTCAACATGGCATCATTATACTGTACTAATGAACGACATCAATAATGCATCATTCGATACTTTTTCCAAAAAAAAGTTAAATACTTTATGTTTAATTCAATATATATAAATTTCTACCCAATGTCAAATGTTTAGTTTTCAATTTTTTTATAACAACTGGGCATATTTTCTGTGTATTGCATTGAAATATAATTAAAAAACTAAATCTCAATATTTATGATTTATGAATTGTATAATTTACAATTATAAATTTTATATTATATATTAATGATGGCACATGGTGTATAAGGTATAAGCTCCTATTATAAAAATTATTCTTCTAATTTTCTGTAAGAACCAATAAAAATAAAGACATTGAGTTCGTAAAAAGTTATTTAAGATAGCATAATTACACAGTAATGTTCTTCACAGTAAATATTGTGAATTTAAGAACACTGAATTTAAATTTTCAAATCATTTTCATATACAGTGAGTCAGTGACTTTTTACCATATCTTTTTTAATTTCCATAATTTTTCGTATCGCTCTTGTTACTTTTATTTATTATTTTAACTGAACTTTATTTCAATGACTATTCTCACAGACATTTTAATATAATTATTTTGGATATCCGTATTTAGTATTAATTATTACCTTTATTTCGATTGCTATTCTCACTCTTATTGTTATACTTATTTATTTGTTGCATGTCTTTTATCTCACGGCATCCACCTCTCTCTAATTCTATAAAGCTGAGATCCGTGAATTTATGTATTTTTTAAATATTTTTTCATTTAATTATTTATTATAAAATATAAAATATTTTCTTTTTTCAAATAAAAATTTCACAGAAATTCATAAACATTAATTTTAGAAGATTTAAATTCCGAACAAGTTGGTTGAAAATTTGGTGGCTCTGATCTGACACTTCTACAAAAATCCAACCTCGCAAGATTGAAGACCCATCCGTTTGGTGAAGAAAAGCCATATCCAAGGAGAAAATTAATCTATTTTCAGATTTTGATATAGCTCATATTAATGGACATGTTAAAAAATATCATTGACTTACGACCTACATTCACGTGATTTTACACATCTGATGAGAATAATTAATTAATCGACATAATGATGAATACACATACGATTATATGAACAGGTAAAGTTGAGATGCCAGATAAGACATCAGCGAAATATTTGTCGTTTGTCGGAAACTTGGACAAGCGAGTGGAGTTGGATGACAGCATCAATCGGGGAGACAAAAGGTACAACGCTTCGATTTCTATAATGGCTTCTAAAGCATCCTATGAGAACGAAGCTTACCTTAAAACTACTATCCAAGATCACTGGAAGGTATATGTATACACACAACTGCAAATTATTCACAAATAAGCTCCTTCTTTTTTCATTTACTACATTTTAATGACCAGTTAACTTGCTCCATATTCATCTTGCTGTGCATGTTGAAGCAAACTGATCCTGTTTTGATATGTTACAATCGTACATACACAGATGGAGTTCGTGGGGTCCTATGACTACTGGAATGGTAAGAACTAGCTAAGAAAGCAGGTCGCCCTAACTATTATGGATCTCACAACAATGTTAGAATATATGGACTGATTGTAATGTAATGTTCGGTGGCTGGCGCAAACATGGCAGAATATCAAGAGAAGGCCACAACTCAGGCGTTCATCGCCTTGGACAAAAGTGAGGAAGTCGACACTTACGTGGTGGCATTCAGAGGAACAGAACCCTTCGATGCAGATGCATGGTGCTCGGATTTCGACATCTCGTGGTACGAGATTCCAGGCATTGGAAGAATTCACGGCGGCTTTATGAAGGCTTTAGGGCTACAGAAGAATGGGGGTTGGCCCAAGGAAGTCGCCGTCAGAGACCAAGAAAGAGATCATCCTCCCGTAGCCTACTATGCAATCAGGGACATTCTAAGAGACTGCTTGGCTGCAAATAACAAAGCAAAGTTCATATTGACGGGTCATAGCTTGGGTGGGGCTCTTGCAATCCTGTTTCCAGCAATCTTAGTGTTGCACGACGAGGCCTTGCTATTGGAAAGGCTGGACGGGGTTTACACGTTCGGGCAGCCAAGAGTAGGAGATGAAACCCTCGCGGGCTTCATGGAGCAAAAGTTGGAGGATCATGGGATCGCGTATTACAGGTTTGTTTATTGCAACGACATTGTTCCCAGGCTGCCATACGATGACAAGGACCTGATGTTCAAGCATTTTGGGACGTGTTATTACTACAACAGGCACTACCAAGCTAAGGTATGTACGTTCTTTCTTATTATAAGCAGCAAAATTATAGTTTGTGTTTTGATGATGGATGGAGAAAGTGATTCATATAAATATATATAAACATCTATGCAGACAGTGAAGGAAGAGCCGAACGAGAATTACTTCTCGCCATTGGCGGCGATTCCGATGATGGTGAACGCGCTTTTGGAACTGATAAGGAGCTTCACAATTGTGTACGTGAAAGGAAGTGAGTACCAAGAAGGGTTGCTTCTAAGACTTGTCAGGGTTGTAGGGTTGGTCATTCCAGGAGTAGCAGCTCATTGCCCCCAGGATTATGTTAATGCCACTCGTCTGGGATCATTTCCTAATTCTGAACACCACCAAAACACTGCAGATCATCATTCATTGTCTCAACTGCAATCTGCAAACGTCTAAATTATTGCCTGACTCTTGGAGACGCACTCCCTTTAATTTGCAGCTTTCAACTGGGAAGTTTACTCTAGCGAATTTTCTGCAAAAACTGCTATCTCTGAAAAAGGAAAAATCTAATTGTAACTTCAAGGAAACTTGTAACTTAAATCTGATGTTTTTGATATATTGCCATCACTTATAATTTTTCCCCAACACTCACGCAACAAAGAATCAAATAAATATTAAAAATTTTTCCCTTTTGTTTTCCTTTCATGCTCAACGAGACATCTTATTATAATTTAATCAGACATCTTATTATAATTTGAATCAAAGGCCACAAGTTTTATAATTGACCAGAGAGACATCAGCTCGTCGCATTGTCTTGGGTGCAGAAGTTTATGGGAACGAAGTTCATAAATTTAAGCGAATAAAAATACATTAAGTTTGAGCTCGAGAAAGTTTGCACCGTTTGCAAACTGAAAAGGTCATTTTATTGAATTACATTGACACTCGACGTCCTAATAAATGATTTTTTTTTTTTGGGCCAACCAACATTGAAAGAGAATATGTATGAAAAAAATTAAAGTAGGAGAGCTTTTGCCCATGGGTATCTAATCTAACTTGGTATTGCTGATGATATGCTGGGATGAAATTATTTAAAAAAGAGAGAGAGAGAGAAAAGGGAGACGGCACAAGAATTGGATTGGGAGACACGAACAAGGTGATTTTCCTGTAATTCTTTTGCCTCTCATGAGCGCAGCTGACGATGAAAACTTTGTCTGAGAAAGAAGCGTGCTTGTCATGTGGAGGGGGCGAGTTGATAGTCTACAAAGGGGTTGAAAGATTGAATTGTCATGGAGGCCGGCCAGCCCTTGACTTATAATTCTTGATAGTCTTTTACCCTACAGAGCTCAAGCCCTCTTTGGTCACTGAGCTCATGCCTATTTTGATTGAAAGCAGTAGTATAGGCTATCTGATTTTATATCTGATCCTTCTATATGTAGCAGTGCTAGAACCATGCATCGGAAAACAACTCGTTTTGTACTTGCTCTATGTATCACTATTTTTCAAATAAAACAAGCTTAAAATCCTGGTTTTTTAGTGTCAAATAATTACCTTGCAGCCAGTGCTTATATGACAGTGGCATCAGGCCCTCCACATAAGAAGAAAGGCTGCATGCTCCAACTGACTTTATCCACTGTAAAGCTGATTAAGATTTTTTAGCTGTAAATGTTTAATCTTCTATATTTTGTAACTAGTAGAGTGGATGATAGAGACATATAGCCGTTTGTTAATCACTTGCGGGCATGTTTTTGTCGAATGAATTGAGACTGACAGATGATTAAAATTAAAAAAATAACTTTGTAAATGTAAGACAGTGCGTCTCTAATAGAAAATGTAATGAGACAGAATTAATAACTAGCAAGGCATAAGTCTAATGTGTTGCATAAAGAATGAGAAGCTCCATTGTTCCAAGCTTACAAATAGAAGAACTTGTTAGGCCGGGTTTTCATATTTCATATTGATGATAACGGAATAATAAATATTACATATTTTGTTTTGTATAAAATGAAAATATAATTTTAAAAACATGAAACAGCATTGTTCAAGTCAACAAGCAAAGCGTACATATTGTAACTTGTATGAGGGGAGCAACTAAACTAGGGGAATTTTTCCATTGGCAGAGGGGCGACAAACAAGTTCCAGCAACTAAGAGCATGAATGAGCCGAGCAGATCATCAAAGATCCTGTCAAGCAGCAACAAGAAAATAAATTGAGAGGAGAGCAACAACGAAAGATCGCCCCTGAGACCATCATGCATTATTTGTACACAACATATCTCAGAATCAGGAGACAGATCCACTTGCCCTTTCTGAATCTGTACAAATTGTCTCCATACGCTCTCTATCTGTCATTGGACAACCTGGAAACTTAAATTCCTCAATGAAATTCCTGTGTAAGAGGAGGATCATTCATAGTCATAGATCATGGCTGCTGAAGCAGCTTCTTCGAGGCCATGTCTCTGCAAATTTAAAAATTCTCCGAGTCTGATGGCCATGCTTGGGTATTGACCCCCTCATCTTTTCCGCTTTCATCTGCACCCACCTCAGCTTGTTTAGGATCTTGTCCATTGATGCCGATCTCTTCTTTTCCAGCTTCATCTGATTCAAACTCAACCGTTTTCATGGTCAGCAAACAGAGGAATTAAATACCTCTGCATACTTCATGGAGAAACATGGGCTTAATTTGATATCCTCTAATGAATTTTAGTCCTAGCTTTCTAAAACCACGGTATACTAAGAATTTGCCTTGGAGTGCACATGAGAAAAATGTGAACACACAAATTTTGATGAATAGATCACCTCAAGTCTCCGTATTGCTTCTTCTGCCTTCGCTTTCTGCAAATTCTCCCACGCAGTGATCTTGGCAACCTCTCTCTGTACCCTGCACCAAAAAAGAAATTTAAGGAACTTAACATAAAAACACTGACTTCCTCCAGTTTTTTCCATATCATGATAAATATATAGGCAGCTACCAATGACCCCTTAGCGGGTAAAATATTACCCAGTTGGAGATAAGGAAAAAGAGACTTGGTATCTAGCAAATATACTTGGACGCGTTTATGGTTGAATCTGCAGCGACGATGTCCCAAGATGAAGTTTCTGCTTCTGTACTAGTTTCTCTAGAACTCTTGGCTTGCAGCGAAGCATTTTCAGTCATTTTGGTGGCATGCCTCTCGAACCATTTAATAATAGGTGCTTGACTGTCCACCTCCACATCTCTCACTCCTAATTTAGTGGAACAATGAGTCTGTTGGTCAGTGACCGAACCGGGAGAAGATACTACCGACAGATGCTCGTCATCCTCAGACTCCGGGCTCATCTGCGTCCCTTTATCCCGTTTTGAAATTGGAGACATCTCTGCATTCTCATTTTTGCCGTCATCGTCATCTTTCTCTTCTGTAAATGGCGGTAAACATAGCATTTAATAAGGAATCAGCGATGGCGCAGGAAAGCGAGAACAGAGCATCAAACCTTGAGAGTTAGGCGATGAAGGGTCACATAGGAGATCTGACCACCTATGCGCACTGCACAGAGGCATCAAACTAAACCCACCGACTGTTGGACAAGGACATCGAACTCCATTCTCGAGCCTATAATGATGAACGGAGAAGGCATCGGGCGCCAATACTCCCGTGGAAAAAGGCGAAGCCGCCATTAAATTCTGTATACCCAAACCTTCAATTAGAGGTACTGTGGGCGAGTAATTGGAGTAGAAGGCCATCCCATTCGCCGGTGGCACAATAGGACCACTTTTGGATTTGGGTCGACGCTGAGGATGAGCATGGGAGGCCTTGATATTGTTATTATTATTGACATAACCGGAAACAGGGCTACAAATCCACCTCTCTGCTTCGTCCCATTTAGAAGGCAAAGTTCTTCCGCTGTTGAACGGAGTCAAGCCTGCCAAACTAGCGTGCCTTCTGCCGCTCATCGCTCCCTGCGCTACTCTTTCTGAGCTCCATCCCCTCTGGCTTCCGTCCCTGTGGTTTGGCGCAAATGAACTCCCCTTCTGGTTCCAAACCGGGCTCTTCTGCATCACAACTCCGGTTAGACTCAGCCTGCCTGAGCTTTTCTTCGTTTTGTTGCTTCTATTTTTACGTGAGGCAAGTGTCTGTCTGAGTTGTTTTGACCAGAGCTATATGAATAGTACCGAGCAGAGGAGTGGTGCAATAAACATGACAAGGAATATAAGCACTGGGAAATCAGCAGCTAATTTGATCACGAAACATCCCGTCATCCATCTGGGTCAAGTGGCGCTGATGGGTCGGTTCTCGACAATTTTCGCTTCGGTCAAAAATTGCGGAATCTGTAACAAACGCTTTGCGGACGTTTTGTGAGGGCATTGGTGCGATCACAGTGGAGGAGAGATGATCCTGAAGGATAAGGAGCACTGTGATGAGGGCAGAGGACGAGACGTGCGCTGTGGTACATTGCACAGAGGACCAGAGAGCTAATCTCTGCATTTGTCCTGTCGTGTCACAAATAGGAAATTCCAAAAGCCAGTCACATGCACAGGGCCCTCCTCCGTGTCGATGTTAATTTTGACATCTTCCTATGAGGTCTAAAATCTTCAGCTCGGGATGTTGCATAATATCCCTGTGAAATCATAAGGAGTTCCTTTTTGCCAAACACGAAGAAGTGCAAGGTAAATTGGGCCTGAGGGCCTTTGCATTCGAAAACCCAAGTTGCATTGGCGCGGGACTCTTTTTTACAAATGCAAAGGAGAAAGAGAGTACGATGGAGAATTCATATCCACATCCACACAGCTGGCATCAAATAGGCTGTAAGGAATGTGTCTCCTGCGTCTCAACGTAACTCACCTGGCCACGCAATCACGCCCTTCTGTGGGTTCAGTGGGCTTCTAACGTTCAAACATATATCTGACTTCAACATGATACGAGCAGATTTCATTATTGGTCACGGTAGGTGAAATTGTATTTTTACTCTTCTCTGAGCCGTACAGGTTATTGTGTTGTCCATTACATCAGTACAGCAATTCTGTTTCTTCCCATATGTTTTACTGGGGGTAAAGAAATTTAAAAACTTATTCTGTGTAAAAGTTAAATAAGTCAAATAACATATTTATACTCAACATCTAATAAAGGGTAAAAAGAGAATTTGGAATAAAAATTTAATTATGTAATTTATAAGTAGGGAAAAAAATCTTCTATGTGCACCTCATGAATAGGACCGGGGAGAATACTTCTTGTTGAATTCCTTCGGCCAAATATTGCAGTTGTAGCCTTTGGAAGTTAAAATTAAAAGATTTCTCCTTTTCACCTTCAAAGAGAAAAAAGAAAAAAAAAATACTTAACATCAAGTCGAGTCGGGGTCGGTGGTGCAGGGGATCGTTAGTGCGCGGGCTGAGGCCCAGTGGTGTAGGAAGAGGCCCAATGCGAACAAGTCCTAACTTATTGCATGGGGGTTTCTTCGGAAATAGGGATCATGTGTACAGTGTTTTGCCATTTAGGTCCTCATTTCATGAGGCAGGACTGCAGGAGTCCGAGTCCCCTGTACGTGGCAATTCCCTGATGGCCCGAATTACGGGGCATATAGTTAGGACAGTCTGCTGTATATTATTGCAACATGATTGCATGGTCTTTCCAAGCCTGCAAAGCATTAAATCATATTTGTGCAGAGCACATTCCAAGGTTAAGAGATGTCATTTGAAAGTAATTCCTTATTCATTCTAAGCCTCAGAGTTTTAGGAAATATCCCCCTTGGTTACGGAAAAATCTATTCGGAGAAGAAAGGATGATGATGTTGCCTCATCATCAGAACCTGTAGTCTCCCAGCGTTGAAGTTTCAAATAAATAAGTGTGCTTATTGGTGCTACTGAGACCACTCACCGTGTTAACTGAATCTTTTTTTTTTCTTTTTGGGACGAACGATATCTCATCTCAAGCTTATTAGTTTTTTGGGGGATTGATGAATGATGACACTTGTAGAAGCATTATATTTGTAGTTAGTTCAGTGGAACTTACGCTTTGAGTATAAGGAAAATATCAGTCGAGAATCTGAAGGTAATTTATATGAAAAAAGAACTATAAATTATAAAATTACACTACAATTTCTTAGTACTCAATTGAAATTAAGTTTTTATGAGAAAAGACAACATTGTCCCTAAAGTTTAAAATAAGTTTTTATGTGTTGTTAATTTTAAATAAATTGTTATCAAAAAATTAATGAATATTTATTGACGAAGAATTAACACTTATAGAATTAATCTCATCCTATCAATTTTTTTATATCGTTAAAATTCGAATAGGTTGTTATTAATTATGAATGAGTTATTATCAAAATTCAAATGGCATATTATAAGGGTAAACATTTATTCTATTAAAATTTTGTTCAGTTTTTCTATCTTATTAAAATTTAAATACATTGTTGTTAATCATGAATGGAATGTTGTCAAAACTTAGATAGTTTATTGTTTATATAGCTCAAACACTTATTTTATTAAACTTATGTTGTCAACTAATAACAAATAAATATTGTCAAAATTTGAATGAAGTATAATTTTCCTACACGCGAAGTTTTTTTATTATTTTAAACTTTAGGGTTAATGTCGTCTTTTTTATAAAAACTTAATTTTAACTGGGCACTGAGGAAATGTAATGCAATTTCAGAATATTATAATCTTTCTTTGACATAAATTATCTTTTGAGATCCTCAATTGATAATTTTTCTTGAATAAATTTTCTTACCATATTAAACTGCAAAGGTAATAACTAAAGTAACACTTGATGGACTCCAACAATCAACATAAATGGAACATTAGTTTCTTTTTTAGGAAAATATTAATTAAAGATTCCATAAAGACATTAATTCTAATTAAAGACTATAAAATATTAAAATTCTAATTAAGGTGGGATAAAAAACACACCTAACTTTACAAGATTGCCTTTCACTAAAACACTAAAAGATAACATATTATGTTTGTGTTCTCTATTCTTTCTGGGAGTCAAAAATCTGCTCTCATGTGCTATCCTACGTGAAAAATCTGGGCAAAAAAATTAATAGAGTGGATCATCATTTGGGCCATCATCTTGTCTTGTCTTAGTAATAAGTAATTACATGCATTACTTTTTTTACACCTTTTCCCCTCTCATGTGTGAAAAATCTACAATTTTACTTTTTTCCTCTTCTCTATATTTTAGTAGAGCTGAGAAAATGAGTTGGCCCGGCCTTATAGGGCTAGCCCTTGATGAGCTCAAGCTTAAAAGGGCCAACTCATTTAAGCCTGAATTTTCCTTTAAGATCCTGATATATGAAGCTCGACCCTTGACATAGTAGGCTCCAAGCCCTTTTAACTATTTTATTGTTTTTTTAAAATTTTTAATCAAATAAAAAATTACTTCATGCTAATATAATACCCAATCAAGAAAGTTATGAAAAATAACTAAATAACATCTAAATAAACTAAAAACACAAATGAAATGATAATAAGATAATAAGCAATGGATCGACTAAGTCAACAAACATTCAATCGATATTAGATGAGCTTGAGGGATTAAAATATAGGATTACGAGATCGAGGAAAACAAAGGGCACAGGCATGGTGTGTGCATCAGATAGAACTTAACTCATGAGTCACGAATGCACGAGCATGATAAGTGGTAGGAGGACTTGGGAGATCAATGACAACAAGCATCAACTAGTCGAGCATTGTTAAGACTTGGTTCTTGGGAGGGAGCATTATTGAAGTCAGCAACAAGGATGACTGAAGAGTGAGCAAAAGTAAAAGCAAGGATAACTTGTGAGTTGCAACGATAAGGACTGGGACAATAAGGCGATGATTTGCTGAAGAGCAAGAACAACTTGCAGCAGCAAAAAAAAGAGAAACATATTGAAGAAAGAAGAGTAATTGTTGAACTGAATGAATCATTATCATGAATTTAAATGAATTAGGGGATTTATGACTGTATTTTTTGTGAAAAATAGCAACCAAGGATTTCTATATGAAATTTATATCAATCAAGGACTAGTTATTATCAAAACTTAAATGAAAATGTAACATCCCAATTTAAATTTTAATAGTTAATTTGAGTTAATAGAAATAAAAAAAATAATAATATTTAGAGGTAAGAAAATTAGTAAGAGATGATTATTAAATCTAACTTAGGATATAATTCTAAAAAAATAATTAAAAAAAATTAAAAAAATAATTAAAAAAAAATAAAAAAATATATTATTAAATTATTATTATAATAAAAAAAGGAAAAGGTTTGCAAAAAAAAAAGGAAGAAAACGTGCTGCCGCCTCAATAGTAACATAGTAAAGAAAAATAATAAAAAAAAAGAAGAAGAAAGAAGAGAGAGAAAAGAATAAAAAAATGTGTGGGACCCACTGAATTTTTATAAAAACTCACCCGTTTCCTTTCGTTTCTTCATTCTTCGTGTGCGTGAGCTGAGACTGAAAGAGCGTCTAGTTTCACCGGTGCGGGAGATCTGAGTTTTTAAGGTAAGAGTTTTTAATAGAATATTTAGGATGTGATTTTAAGCTTTTTAAGACTAAGTAAGTGTTCTAAAATTTTTCTTAGTCATCCTTCTTCTTTGGTTTCTGAGTTTGTAGTGGTAGAAAATTTAAGATCTGGAAGAGGGATGAATTTATGTTGAATAAATATGAATTTTTGAGGTTGTTAGTAGTATAATAAATATTCTAGAGTATAAATTTATTGGTGATCTTTAAATTTGTGGCTTATGGATCAAATTCTAAACTAGATCTGAAAATATATGTCGACTTATTGAGGTTTAGATGATTATTTGGGATGAGAAATGAATTATTATGGTTATAGGATTATGATTCTAAGCTAGAGACTCAATTTTTAATTTTTGGGTATTTTAGGTACGAATTTATGAAATAAAAAGAAAATTTTGATAATAGAAATTAGTTTAGAAGTTGATTTTTAGATTATTAATGTTTATTGATAATTAAAAGAGGAGTTAAAAATTTTACTTAATAGTATTAACTATAGATTTGTATTAAGATTGAGATTAGAAATTATGTTATATTTTTAATTCTATTATTAGAATTATTTTATTAGTTTCAAAAATTGAAACTAATATTTATAAATAATATGTTATTTGTAGATTGTATTACTGGTAAAGATTGTGGTAAGAGAAAAATTTTAAGGAATAATTTATTGAAAAAGCCATAAGGTAACCATGCTTTTAATTTGTGATTAGTGTTACTTCATGTTAATTGGGTGATTATTGAGAAAATTATGAATTTTGTAATATTGTATAATTGTGCAATATTATTATGAATTTGTTTGATTATTGTGGGAGGTGTTGGGAGACTCGCTATTATTGTTATATTTATGTGCCACGTGGTACGCCCCTATTGGAGCTCAATAGGTGGCTTATAAGGGCTCGGGCTAATCTACCTTTGGCCGGGTAATTTAGCACCGAGTGAGGGTTACGGCTCGAGGTTAATGAAGGAATATAAGGATGGTTGTTTGTGTTTATTATAATATTTCATATATTTG